GGGCCGAAGGGCCTGTTTCCGCACTGAAGGGATTCTATGAAAAAAAATAAAAAAAGACAGACAGGTCAAGGAGACGGGGATGACCTGGGCTGGTTTTGGAATGAGATCCCAAAACCACCCCAGCTCGCCCCCGCCTCCTTGACCTGTCCGTCTTTGCTCCCACCTATCTGCTCCTCTCACCTCACTGACCTACCCACCCCCACCCCCACCCCATACCTACCAGCCTCATCCCCACCTCCTTGACCTGTCCGTCTTCCCTTGACTGACCAACCCCCATCCTAACTCCCCACCTACACTCATCTTTACTGGCTCCATCCCCGCCTCCTTGACCTGTCCGTCTCTTCTCTACCTATCTGCTCCTTTATCCACCTTCCATCCGCCTCCCCCTTTCTCTCTATTTATTTCAGAATCCCCTTCCCTTCCCCCATTTCTGAAGAAGTGTCCAGACCCGAAACGTCAGCTTTCCTGCTCCTCTGATGCTGCTTGGCCTGCTGTGTTCATCCAGCCCTACACCTGGTTATCTCAGTCCTCTTCTTTCTTTCTGTCTTTTTTTCCACCCCTGCCCCTCAAACTATCCATTGTGCTGTGGACATGACTCAGCTGCACTCAACAGCTGAGCTATTGTTCTTACTACACTATAAAGATGTGTGATGCACTACAATTCCGAAAAATGTTGACACTAAAGAGTAACTTAATGTTCATTGTTCTTGATTTGAAAATAAATTAAAATATCATGGTAATCCAACAATGGCTATCACTTTTATAGCACCCTTAACATGCAAAATATTACAAGATACTTCACCGGATCCTGCACTGGATGTTGGACACGCATTATAGAGAAAAGTTAGATACCAAGCCTCATACGGTTAAGACACAGGCAAAGTCAAAAGCTTAGTCAAAGAGGTGGATTTTGAGGAATGCCTTAAAGAATGAAAGAAAGGGAGAATGTCGGAGAAGGAATTCAAGGTTCAGCCTAGGAAGCTGACGTAGACTGTCAATGGTGGAGCAAGTAAAACCAGGGAAGCTGAATATGGCAGAATTAGATGAGTCCAGACCTAAGGGAGTAAAGATATAAGACTGTTGTTAGACATCAGCTGGAATATTGTGTACAGCTCTGGGTGTCACTATTTGAAGGATGTGAACATATTGGAGACAGTGCAGAAGAGGCTTACAAGAACAGTTTCAGAATTGAGCAGTTTTGGTTATGAGGATATTTTGAAGAAGTTGAGACTGTTCTACTTGGAGAGAAAGCTAAGAGGAGATCTGATAAAGGTTCTCAAAATTACGAGCAATCCAAATAGTGTAGATGGGGAGAAATGATGCCCGCTTATCAAAGCACTGAGAACAAGAGGGCATAGATTTGTAGTGATCTGCAAAGAAGCAAGGCCAAGTGAGGAAAAGCTTTTCCACCTGGTGAGTAGTTAGGAGATGGATTGCAGTACCAGTAAGTGTGGTGGAGGAAGGTATAATTGAGCCGTTCAAGACGGTGATGGATGGCTATTTAGATAAAAGTAATATGCAAGAGTATGGGGGAAAAGCAGGAGTTTGGCACTAGATAATGATGCCTATTTAAGGAGCCACCGTAGGCATGATGGGCTGAATGGCATCCTTCTGCATTGTCACATTTTTCTGTGAAACTGTGATATGGGTAGCAAGCTGAGAATTGAATGACCTAATTGTAGAATAGATAGAATGTGGGAAACCAGCTAGGAGCATGTTGGAATATACAAGTCTAGAACAAACATAGACATGCATGAATATTTCAGAGATAGTAGGAACTGCAGATGCTGGAGAATCTGAGATAACAAGGTGTAGAGGTGGATGAACACAGCAGGCCAAGCAGCGTCATAGGAGCAGGAAAGCTGACGTTTCGGGCCTAGACCCTCCTTCAGAAATGGGGGAGGGGAAGGGGGTTCTGAAATAAATAGGGAGAGAGGGGGAGGCGGATAGAAGATGGATAGAGGAGAAGATAGGTGGAGAGGAGACAGACAGGTCAAAGAGGCGGGGATGGAGCCAGTAAAGGTGAGTGTAGGTGAGGAGGTAGGGAGGAGATAGGTCAGTCCGGGGAGGGCGGACAGGTCCAGAGGAGACAGCAACAATCAGCCCTGCCAAGTCTTCACCATCCCCCCAGACCTCCCCCTTACTGAGGATGAACGGTCAGTCGTCAGTAAAGGGCTCACCTTTGTCCCCCTCCACCCACACATCAACGAATACCGGTCACGTTCGGACATAGAGCAGTTTTTCCGCCGCCGCCTCCACGCTTACTTCTTCAACCGTGAGCCTAACCCTCCCTCTACTGACCCCTTCTCCCACATCCAACACACCCCTCCTCCTGGACACCGCCCCAAGGCCTCCTACCCTCCCTCAACCTCTTCATCTCCAACTGCCGTAGAGACATCAATCGCCTCAACCTCTCCACCCCTCTCACCCCCTCCAACCTCTCCCCCGCAGAACATGCAGCCCTCCGCTCCCTCCGCTCCAATCCCAACCTCACCAAAAAACCCGCGGACAAGGGAGGCGCAGTTGTAGTATGGCGCACTGACCTCTACATCGCCAAGGCCAGATGCCAACTCTCCGACACCACTTCCTACCGCCCCCTTGATCATGACCCCACCCCTGAGCACCAAACCATCATCTCTCAAACCATCCACAACCTCATCACCTCAGGTGACCTCCCACCCACAGCCTCCAACCTCATCGTTCCCCAACCCCGCACCGCCCACTTCTATCGCCTTCCCAAAATCCCCGCAACTCATCCCTCACACCCCCTCCCCGCAATAACAACCAAAAAAGAATCCCCCCTCGTCCTCACGTACCACCCCACCAACCTCCGGATCCAACGCATCATCCTCCGACACTTCCGCCATCTGCAATCCGACCCCACCACTAAAGACATTTTCCCTCCCCACCCTTATCTGGTTTCCGGAGGGATCACTCTCTCCGGAACTCCCTTGTCCGCTCAACACTCCCCTCCAGCCCCACCACACCCGGCACTTTTCCCTGCAACTGCAGGAAGTGCTACATCTGCCCCTACATCTCCCCCCTCACCCTCATCCCAGGCCCCAAGAAGACTTTCCACATCAAGCAGAAGTTCACCTGCACATCTGCTAATGTGGTATACTGCATCCGCTGTTCCTATTGTGGCCTCCTCTACATTGGGGAAACCAAGCAGAGGCTTGGGGACCGCTTTGCGGAACACCTACGCTCAGTTCGCACTAAACAACTGCAGCTCCCAGTCGCGAACCATTTCAATTCCCCCTCCCATTCCTCAGACGACATGTCCATCCTGGGCCTCCTGCAGTGCCACAACAATGCCACCCGAAGGTTGCAGGAACAGCAACAGCAAGTCATATTCCGCTTGGGAACCCTGCAGCCCAATGGTATCAATGTGGATTTCACAAGCTTCAAAATCTCCCCACCCCCTACCACATCCCAAAACCAGCCCAGCTCGTCCCCGCCTCCCTAACCTGTCCTACCTCCCACCTATCCCCTCCTCCCACCTCAAGCCCCACCCCCATCTTCTACCTACTAACCTCATCCCGCCCCCTTGACCTGTCCGTCCTCCCCGGACTGACATATCTCCTCCCTACCTCCCCACCTACACTCGCCTTTACTGGCTCCATCCCCGCCTCTTTGACCTGTCTGTTTCCTCTCCACCTATCTTCTCCTCTATCCATCTTCTATCCGCCTCCCCCTCTCTCCCTATTTATTTCAGAACCCCCTTCCCCTCCCCCATTTCTGAAGAAGGGTCTACGCCCGAAACGTCAGCTTTCCTGCTCCTATGATGCTGCTTGGCCTGCTGTGTTCATCCAGCTCTACACCTTGTTATCTCATGAATATTTCAGCATCAGATTAGATGAGGCATGAGCAAAGTTGGACGATGTTAAAGGTGGAAGAATGTACTAGTGCAGATGCATGATTGGAAGTGCACTTCGATCAGAAATGATTCCCACTCGTGAACAGCTTGATGTAGTCTTGGACGGTTGGCAAGGAGAAGGGTGGTGTTGGTAGCTAGGCCAATTAGTTTAAAGTGGGGATCAAAGACAATGCCTTTGGTCTTCCCAATATTTAATTAAAGGAAATTTTTGCTAATCCAATGCTAGACAAGTATGGGACTTGAACTTGGACCTTCTGGCCTAGGATGGGACCACTTCACTGGACCAAGGCTCCACTTCATACACTGGATGTTGAACGTGCAGACTGGTAATTTAGTAGCAATTGAGAAGTCAGGTGATGGTAATGTTGTAGAACTGGATGATGTCAGCATGTATGAAATGTATTACCTGTGGAGGTTTCTTTTTTGTCAGTTTCCTCCTCTGCCTTGCAAGCATTGATTTGTCAGTAGGGTTTATTTTGATCATCTACCTTGCCTAGGTGACTTGCTTATTTTTCTTAAAGGGCAGTGATAGCCTTGTAGTATTGTTGCTGTAGGTTCAGGTCTCACCACACCAGTTTGATTTTTTTTTTAAATCTAGAATCATTGTCAATTGTCATAATACTCATCTGATTCACTAATGCCCTTTTTAAGGAAGGAAACTGCCCTCCTTACTTGGTCTGGCCTACATGTGACTCCAGATCCAAAGCAATGTGATTGACTCTTAATTGACCTCTGAGCAGTTAGGGGTAGGCAATAAATGCTCACCGAGCCAGTAATGCCTACATTCCATGAACAAATTCTTTAAAATAACTCGTGGGGCTGCTGACACAGCAATGAAAATGGTGGTGTGAAGAAATCTCTGGGATAGATAATAACATGCAGTAATTGGCTAGATATTTGTTGTGGGAAAGAGGATCATGACCTTTCCCTAAGCTGTAATTGAGATCACAAATTAGGAAGTGAACCTACTCCTAGCCCATTGTTTCTCAGTAGGTAAGCTAGCAAATAAAAACCAATAGCAGGGCATACTCAAATTGCTTTTCTTCAAATTGAAAAGATTTATTTTGGATTTGTGTTTTATCACATATTAAATGAACTGTAATTAATTCTTTCTATTCTAGATATGGATCCAGCATTGTTGAAAGAAAGGGAACTGTTTAAGAAGCGTGCTCTTTCTACTCCTGCTATTGAGAAACGAAAAGTCTCTTCCTCTTCTAGTTCATCTAGTTCTAAAAAGAAGAAATTAAAGCCAGATCAGGGCAATTCCTCAAAACAAAGTTCAGGTAAATTGAATTATGTACAAGTATATATTTATTTTAAAACAATGGTTTTGTTACATTTAGCTTTTAAAAATTTGGTAAATATGGTTTATAGTTAAGAAAAGTATACAAGATATTATCATTTTTGCTTGCCAATTGGTATTCCACTTTAGAAACTAATGAGGGCAGTGGATCCTTGGGAGTGCAGCCAGAGCCGCCAAGTCCTTTGTAATGGAACAGGAAGTGGAAGGGGGGCAATAATTATAGAGGATTCCATAGTCTGTGGATCAAAAAGGAGTTTTTGTGGCATTAAACTTGACTCCAAGATGACTTTGCCTCTTGGTGCCAGGGTCAAGAATAGGAACATAAGAATCAAAGTAGACAAACAGGAGGCTGGAAGGACACAGTAAGCCAGGCAGCATCTGGAGGAAAGGAGCAGTCAACGTTTTGGGACCTGAAGAAGGGTAATACCCGAAACGTTGACCGCTCCTTTGCTCCAGATGCTGCCTGGCTTGCTATGTTCTTCCAGCCTCCTGTTTGTCTACCTGGATTCCAGCATCTGCAGTTTTTTTGTCTCTAACATAGGAATCAAGCCTGCCTCACTATTCAATATTGAATCATAATCACAGTACATGCCTTCATGCAATCCTGTAACTATTTTACTATAACCCCAGATCTAAAGACATAAAGAGAGATACATGGCTGTGATCTAATTGCCATTACAGAAACATGGCTGCATGGTGACCAGGATTGGGAACTGAACATTCAAAGAGCATAGTACTTTCATAATTGCAAAATACGAAAAAAGCATTGAGATACATGAACTTCAGATGCTGGCATTGGTATTCAGTATTTGGCTATTTTATATTATTATGGTCCCAGGTCATGATAAATTGGACAAGTCAAATCTATGAATGAAACTTGGCTTAACAGATCACATGGGTAATTTTTGCAGTTAGTTACTGTGGTGGTTATTCCATTGCCTTTCAATTTTACATTCTTGCCTTTTAGTGTATTATCCTAATCAACCTCAGCTAATCTATGTCTTATGCCTTTATATGTTCCCATATTCAAATTTAAACCTTTCAGAATTAACTACCTCTCTTTCGAACTTATTGTGGTAACTCATCCTAAAAGTTCTTTTACAAAAAGATTGTTAATTAGCCCTTTTTGATTCCATAATAGTAGATCTAAACTAGCAAAGCCCCTAATTGGCTCCTTAACATAAAACCACCTGAACACACTTTGCTCATGCAGCGTGCTTCTCTAATTTCTTGATTAATACCATGGCCCACACTACCATTATTTGGTAGTCTATAAATAAGTCCAGCCAATGTCTGCTGCTCCTTGCTGTTTCTTAACTCCAACAAACAGACGCCACACATTGTTCTTCCTTGTTCTATCTTGTCTGCCTAGTATTTGAGACTATGCCCTCTGGTCCTAACATCCTCTCAACATTTACACTATCAAGCCCTTTAAGAATCCTATATGTTTCAATGAGATGGTCAAACATGACGTGACACCAGGTTATAGTCCAACAGGTTTAATTGAACACACAAGCTTTCAAAGTGTTGCCCCTTCCTCAGCGGTAACACTCCAAAAGCTTGTGTGTTCAATTAAACCTGTTGGACCATAACCTGGTGTTGTGTCATTTTTGACCTTGTCCAACACTGGCGCCTCCAAATTATTTTGATGAGATCACCTCTAAACTCCAGTGATGACCGTTACAACCTTTTGAATCTTTGCTCAAATGGCAATCCCTGCATACCAGGGATCATCCTAGTTTTCTGAACTGCCTCCAATGAAATGACGTCTTTCCTTTAAATGAGACCAAGCTGCTCACATTACTGCAGGTATGGTCTCACCTTGTACAGTTGAAGTAAAACTTCTTATTCTTATACTCCAACCTGCTTGAGATAGAGGCCAACATTCTGTTTACTTTTCTGATTACTTGCAGAACCTGTGTGCTAGTTTTCTTATTTCATGCCAAGTACCCCATGACCGTTTGTGCTGCAGCTTTCTGCAGTTTTTCTTCATTTAAATAATACCCTGTTCTTTTATTCTCCCTTCCAAAATGAACAACTTCACACTTTCCCATCTTGCACTCCATTTGCCTATTGATATCTCTCAGTAAACTGTTTGGATCCCTCTCACAACCTGCCTTTTCACCTATTTTTATATCATCTGCAAATTTGGCTACAATACATTTGCTTTCTCCCTCCAACTCATTAATATATGTTGCAAACATTTGTGGTGCCAGCACATTCTTTCCAGCCCATTGGCCAGTTCTCTATCCTCACCAACATTCTGCGACCAGCACCGTGGAATCTTAGATAATGAAGCAGCCAGTATGAGGAGACAGGAGAACCTAGATAATGCTCAGGTTTAGGCTGAGAAGTGGTCAATAATATTCATGCCACACAAATACCCCATAATGGATCTTCTCCAAGCAGAGATAATCTAACAATTTCCCCTTGATGTTTCACTAAATTGCCATTACCGAATCCTCCACCAAGATGTCATAGATGTAAAGTGATTTGCAAAAGAACCAACAGCAATTTTGAAAGAAAATGTTTTTTACACATTGTTAAGCTTCACTGGATGGTGCAGTAGAAATCCAGCCTGCTATTCCTGGAGTCATCACAAAAGTTAGAGATATTTTAAGATATACAGAATTTCCCCTGACTTTTAGATCCAGTTTGACAGAAAGCATGGACCAATTTTCTGTACATAATAAGACTTATTATTTATTAGAAATGAGTAGACTCTAGCTACAAGTAAGCTGGTATGAACCATTCACTTATAATTCTGTTCATTAAAACACCAACCCATTATAAACTCCTCCTTGCACACACCGACTGGGAAAAAATGGGTTTTGTGAATGGAGGGAAAAACAGGAAAGCAGTTCAGTGGTCTCTGTTCACAGGATCTGTTGACATAGTTCTTGTGCTGATCAGAGCACTGCTTCTTGGTTTTGTTTTCTGGATGCTTTCGCTTTGCAGCAGAAGTCAGATCCCTTATTCACACTTATAAAAGGTCTCAAAGTGATCACAGCTCACAGCAACTGCTGAAGGAAAAATAATTTGCCTCAGGTTTAAAGTGGCTTTTACTGTAGAGAACTGAGATTTCCTGACCCTGAGTGAATATCTGAAGGCTTCTCACTATCTTGCTTACACTCCCAAGCTGAGAAAAAATTACAAAGTTGCGGGCAAACTGAATGTTTTTGTTATGGATAACTGGACACTAGTCCATAGCCAAAAATACAGAAAAAGTAAAAAAAAGCCTATCTATTGTATGGTAAAGATCTGAAATACCTGAAAGGATGATAACTGCAGATTCAATCAGTGCTTTTCAAAGTTAGATAAGTATTTGAAGGGAAAAATATTTGCAGGCTTACAGGGACAGGGTTGAGAAGTAGGACTTTAAATTGTTCTTGCAGAGAGCTGACGCCAGTTTGACTTACAGAATGGTCTGCTTCTGTGCTGTAACCATTCTATAATTCTAACAAACTTCTAGGGTTACCATTGACTAGAAACTTAACCGGTTGGACTACGTTAATACTGTGGAAAACATGAGCAGGTTTCTGATTCCTGAAAGTCTGATCTCCTAACTACATTCAAACAGCACTTGAGAAGCTTGACATCTTTCGAAACGAAGCCACCCACTTGATCGACACTTTAGCCACTCATCTTTCAACAGCCGTACTCTACCAGTGGCATACAATGAAAACAGTGTGCACAATCCATAAGACACATTGTACCTTAGATAGCATTTATTTATTTCTCACATTTGTATAGTTTCTTCATGAACACTTTTTTTTTCTTCACCCTTTGAGTAAGTATTGAAAATGGTAGCAGGCTGATTATCAATCATTTGAATCATGTTATGAATCCTTCTTCCATCATCATAGAGGTGTAGGGTCATACAGCATGGAAACAGACCATTCGGTATATCCAGTCCACACCAACCATTTCCCAAACTAAACTAGTCCTACCTGCCTGCACTTAACCCATATCCCTCCAAACCTTTCCTATTCATGAATTTATCCAAATGTCTTTTAAACGCTGTACCTGTACCTGCATCCATCACATTGTCTGGCAGTTCATTCCACACATTAACTACTCTATGTTTCTTAAAAAAAAAGTTGCCCCTCATATCATTTTAAAATCTTTCTCCTCTCACCTTTTAAAATATCCCCCCTAGTTTTGAAATCCTCCACCCTAGGGAAAAGACTCTTGTCTTTCACCGTTTTTTTGGTCCTCATGATTTTTTAAACCTCTATAAGGTCACCTCTCAACCTCCTATGCAGTAGTGAAAAAGGTCCCAGTCTTTTTGTACATTTCAAACCCTCCATTCCAGGCAACATCCTGGTAAATCTTTTCTGAACCCCCTCAAATTTAATAGTATCCTTCTTATAACAAGGCAACCAGTGCTGCACACAGTACTCCAGAAAAGGCATTGCCAACGTCCTGTACAACTTAAACATGAGGTCCCAACTCCTATACTCAAAGGTCTGAGCAATGAAGGCAAGAGTGCTAAATACCTTCTTAATCACCCTGTCTACCTGTGACGCAAATTTCAAAGAATTTCATACCTGAACCCCTAGGTCTATCTATTCTACAAGACCACCCAGGGCCCTAACTATTAATTCCATGATCAGAATAACTGGAGTCGGACTTGAACCTGGGAACTGTTGAGTCACGAGATCTCTGTAGTGCTAACTGAAACAGCTTCAATGTTGAATGAGGATTTTCTAATCAGTTTGGTAATTTTATCGTGTTAAATCTACTAATTTAAAACTTCTGCTTTGGTTTTTACCAATACTTTTTATTTATTTTTATGTTTAACTGCCCTCTTGATGAGCAATATTGTTGAAAACATGATGCTGATAAATTAAAAATCATTTCAGTTCTACTGACTCCTGTCTTTCTGTTACTGTGTCGTTTTGATCAGTTTTTTTCAAAAGTATTTTCTGTTACCTTGACTGCATTGTCATAGCTCAACACCATATTTTCAGGACCAAA